AGAATGTTTCACTAATATAGAGTGGTTTCTGTATATATTTAACTTTTTTCTTAAAATAAAAGGCATTCTCACTGCAAATACATTTGCTCTGTCTGAATGGAAAAACATAGCGAACACTTAACACCTTATTGAAAATTAAAAACAACTGTACAAAAATATACAATTTCCTTAGTAAACTTGGTGATCTAGCCAGGTATAATGTAATGTTTCACTAATATAGAGTGGTTTCTGTATATATTTAACTTTTTTCTTAAAATAAAAGGCATTCTCACTGCAAATACATTTGCTCTGTCTGAATGGAAAAACATAGCGAACACTTAACACCTTATTGAAAATTAAAAACAACTGTACAAAAATATACAATTTCCTTAGTAAACTTGGTGATCTAGCCAGGTATAATGTTGTCACACATCTATTTGTAGTTTCCATTGGAGACACTATTGCAAAATTAGAATATAGTCTTGCCTGCTATACACAGTAAGTATGGAATTCCACTCAGAGGTTATTCAAGTGATTGAAGGCCAAAATTACAGACCTTATTGAGGCAAAACTTCCAAAGAATATAGAATTTGGTCAATTTTGAAGTTTGAAAGACTTTAGTATGAAAGGCTCCATGTACCATGTCTTGATTCCATTGAAATCAACAGCAAAACTCACAACTACTTCAACAACTATGTAATATGTTATTATTTAGAATACATTTAATAATAATGAGGAATTTACTATTTTGCAGTTGGCATTGTGATACCAACAGAATTGTCTTCCACCAACAGAGGATGGCCCAGTAAAGATATTGCCTCGCCTACTGACTGTCTGACTCTCTCTCTCTGTCTCACATCCTCCAACTAATATAGCTACAACAATACCATATATACATTGGAGAGCTCATATTTAACTCCTTTAACTAGGAAAACAAACACAATTTGAAGGAAACTGAGTGGCACTAAAGGAGTGAAAATGGCGTGTTACAGCATTTTAAACATAAAGTCAAACTTCCCATGGACTGGAATTCTAATTAGTTGCCATATACCAATGAGGGTTTTTTCCCCTTTTTCCAGTTAATTTTCCCACATTTAATAGTCAGAGGCTTCGTCTACACTGGCCAGTCTTGTGCAAGAACATATTTAAATGAGGTGCGGTGATGAATATCGCTGCACCTCATTTGCATATTTAATGAGCTGCCAGTTTGCTCAAGGGGCTTTTGCACAAGAAGGAGCAGTCTATACTGCTCCTTCTTGCACAAAACCCCCCTCTTGCACAAGAGCCGTTCTGCCTGAAAATAAGCGGCAGAACTGCTCTTGTGCAAAATCCCCTTGCGTAAAAATGGCAGCTCATTAAATATGCAACTAAGCCACAGCGATATTCATCGCTGTGCCTTAGTTGTATATGTTCTTGCACAAGACTGGCCAGTGTAGACATAGCCCAAATGTTTTCATCTTAGAAACAGCTCTACCATATTTTTTAAATGAACAGGGGTGCACACTCTTCTTATCCCAAAAATTATTTTCTATTTATGGTATTTTTTTCACTTTGATTTTATCATCACATACCAAATGAGGTATTTGAAATAATTGATTGGCTAAATACATAGGCATTGAGGACTCCTCCTTGGAATTTTATCAAGCGTTAATGCTTCATTGGGAACTAATATTCATCAGATACGCACATGGGTTATATAGGTTTATTTAATAAAGTGGTAGATGAGGTATTTTTCATTGCATAGAGGATGTATCCTTATAACAGTTTGCTCATGTATTTACTCAGCTTTCCAGTCAAAGGATTTCTTGACAGAACCTCCCTGACACTCCCTAAGAACACCTCATGAAACCTTGTTCCAACACGCTGTGACAAAAAACTTTCTTCTCTCTAATCCTGACTTCAGCAAAATCATCAGACAATTCTTGAGCATATTCCATTAATAAAATGGAGATGATAATACTGTGTATAACCTGCTGTATTATGAAGATTTACTACTTTATATTTATAAAATGTTTTGAAGAGTCCAAATATTATGTATATGTGAAGTATTATTAATATCAGTTCTTTGGTTGCATTTTTTCTCTAATTGATGTTCAGGGGACTGGCATGCCTGGCCACTCTTAATGATAGCTGGGTTTAGGTGCAGCGTGAACTGAACTGAAGCACAAATAACACCACTTCCTGTACACTTTAGATTCTAGAACATCCACTCTGAAAATGTAATGTGTCTTTTAATCCAGTTGGAATTTATATCTAAAAGGGTGCAGTAAGGAAATCAGTTGTACACAAAATACCTTTTTATAATTTTACTTATAAAATTAAGTTGTGAAGACCAGGACTTTAACAGGGTTCAAAAAAGAGCTAGACAGATTCATGGAGGTTAGGTCCATCAATGGCTATTAGCCAGGATGGGTAGGAATCGTGTCCCTAGCCTCTGTTTGTCACAGCTGGAAATAGATGACAGGAAAGGGATCATTTGATGATTCATTATTCTGTTCACTTCCTCTGGGGTACCTGGCATTGGCCACTGTTGGAAAACAGGTTACTGGGCTAGATGGACCTTTGGTTAGACCCAGTTTGGCCCTTTTTATATTCTTATGTACTTTGATTGGACAGCTTTTTGTTGTTAACTAAATTTAAAAAAGAGGTCAATAAGTAAAATATGGGGGTTTAAGTCTATAGTTGTGCATGTCGTTTGTATTCATCAAATACAAGGGTGCTGATCCCTGTTTAACTTTAATATTTCCAATAAGTGATTTTAAAAAGAATAGGCAAGGAACAATAATCTTTTTGTTTCTCTGGTTCAAGAACTCCTCTGACATGGAAACATTTGATGTGCAGGTTCCTTTTATAATAGCTTAAAGCAAGGTAAGGGTTTGGTTGTGCCAGAACAATGGGATGTGCCTGGAATTTGATTGTTTTTCATAAAATGGAAAGTGAGGGTTCTGGTAGATGGGACAATTATATTGCAGAATGACCACAGGAGGGCAGCAAGGGCCCACAGATGGGGACCAGGATAGCTATAACCTCTTCGGGCCAGCAGTGGGCAAAGATGGAGAAAGGGATTCCTATCTACTATAGATTTCAGAGAGTTTGTCTGTCTGTGTGTTGGTCTGTCTCCCAGCCAGGGAATATGCACTCTTCCCCTGAATGTGACTGCTTCAATTGCAGTGCCCATGGACAAGTGCTTCATACCTGACCCCAAGTTCCTGCAGTGAGAGAGGGCTGAGGTTGTCCTTTCTCCACAGGGCAGCCTGCACACTGAACCAATACTTTGGTAGCACCAGGATAGAAATGATGTGGGGGAGGCGCAGATGGGGTTGGTTCCTCACCTCTCCCCATTTGGTGTTTGGCTTGTACTGAGCATGCACAGTAACACTGCTGAAGCCTCTGTCCTCAGGCCACCCCCTCCCCTTTACA